ATATATATATATATATATATATATCTGTAGCAAAAGAATGCAAAAACACAAAACATAATACAAAAAATATTTAAAAATATTGCATAGTATTCATAAATATTGTAGTCAATTTTATTTTTATCTCATTCTATTCTTTTTGTATTCTTAAGATTTTTGAAGCTAAAAGCTTCAAGCTTGAAATAAACTGCGACGCAACAGACAGTCGTTACATATTTCCAAACATTATTCGGATCGCCGACCCGAAAGTTAAAATTTCATTAAGTTCCATATGTATCCGTCCCTGTCCCTTCTCTTCATCTTCTTCTCTGAATAATCACGCACTCGCCACAACGACCCTCTCGATTGCCGGTCGTTAATATCGACCGCCAGGTAGTCTCTGTCGATTGAATTTTTTACTGATGCCCACCGCGGAAGCCGCGGCTTGGACCCCATTCGTGCAGTTGCTTCTTAAAAGTAACTGACTTCGTCTTAAACGTCCGCCATTCGTCATCGTGCCGATGCCGATCCGGTAGGAAATAGAACAGTATAGCCTCGGCGGGATCTTTCTCTTCGGGATCTCACAAAATGTGTGGCATTGACGATATTCCCCATCATTATTTCAATGATACCCGCGTCCGTCAAGCGGTTCGTAATTTACTGAGATAAATGCGCCCTCAAACGATCTCTGACACCGATCGCAAACCGAACGTCAACTGTCCCAAAGAATGCATGATTGAAGATCATTGAAGATTTATCGGTAAATGAGAAGATCAGGTTGTACAGAAATCAATACAAAAAACACATGATAAAATGTGTCACGAATAATTTTCTTTGCATATAAAATAATATGTGTACAAATGTTGCAACTTTATAAATATATTCTGAACACGCAGGCATATAAATTAAATAATAATGTTACATTATTAATAAGAATCTAAATGTAAATATAAATCAAAAATAAAAAAATGATAGGCCGAATTACTATTTACTAAAGTATCATGGAAAGCATTGCGAATCACTCAGAATTGACTATTTTCGCCGGTTTGACTATAAAATTATCCGAATGTCCATCGACGTCTTCCAGTTCTCTGGAATAAAACTTTGCCGCTATCCTAGCACGACCTTCCAATTTTGGCATCATGGAAAAGGTACATTCCGCGTCTGCATCCACTTCGACAGGCTCCGACAACTTTAACTTCAACTGCTCGTCCAGACCAGGCCCCTCGATAAGAAACCTACCCTTCCTCAAAGGAATAGGTAGTGGATTGCGAAATTTGGCCGAAGCATTGAGGGTTTGATCGATGACTGCTTCATTATGTAACTGTAAATCATAAAATTTAATTTTTATAAAAACATTATTTATTATACACTTCTATGTCTTTCTATTTCTTTCCTCGATTTTATCCTTCGCTTACAATAACGCACTCTAATAATTACCGTAATTTTAATATCCGGTTTCCTGACGCGAAAATCGTCCTGTGCAAAATACTCGAAGTTCGTGTCCTTCACGGTAGCGAGACAGGAGATATTGAAAGCACATTGATCCAATAATCTCGGACCGTATTCCTCCCAGGAAACGTCCATGCGAATTTCCTCGAGCACACCAGGTCGAACTAGTCTATTGACGTGCAATCTTTTCACCGGATCACCTACCCGGCCAGTATATAATACTGTTTCCACTCTCAGAATTGCGGATACGTGATACTCCATCGTTGAATGTCGATTTTTTATCAATAATACAACGCTATCGAAAAATAAAAAGGTTCTAGATAGATATTACAATAAAATAAAACATGCTGAAAATAAAAGCATTAAATTAAAAAAAAAAATAAAATGAATTTGAAGGATAATCGAAATTATATTATTATATGTTATCATGTATGTATTATCTTTGAGACTTGCATGTAATTGAGTTAAGAAAATTATTATATCGTTTAAAGAGCACTTGGAAATAGTAAATTAATATAATTAATATAAAAATACCTAAATGGCTGTCCAATTATAATGTCATCGCGCAGTTCGAAAGTGAACATGACATCGTTGAACTCTTCGTTGAGATAATAACGGCTAAATAAAGATTCGCTCTGGCGCAATGCTTTCAACATGGCAGCACGTTCTTCATCAGACTCTGTTAACATTCAAAATGATTATCACATTATATTTAATATTCATTATCAGTCGAAATCATATTACATTAATATCAATATAAATTCCACTTACTTTCTGGATACTTGTAGGTATGCGTGATGTCCTCTCTCGTCCATCTCCCAACTGCTTTCGTGCTGATCAGCTGGCCGATGCTGTGAAAATTATCATCACAAACAGTCTTAATGATCGTGAGAAAGATCGACATTATTGACAATACTGGCAATTCGTACGTACCCATGCATATCCTTGCGAACTAATTTCAAGGGTTGCGTGGGCCCATTGTAACGCCAAAAGACTTTATCGGCGTTCACCTCGGCGAAGAGGAACGCGTTGTCGTACGGACGCAGGACTTCTCCCTTTTTTACGGCAGCCACCGATGCCGGTCCGCAACGATACGCGCCTTCGCTCAGTTCTTGAGGAGTCGCATCGATAGCCTGCCATCCCGAACAATCCGGCGACAAATCCAACCGCTTCATCCACACTTCGTTCCAGACGTGGAAATTCCTTGCGCGACGAAAATCAAATAATTTGCTATCCGACACCGTTGATCGGTATTTCCTAGTTTCTATTTCAAAAGTACCATTCGCGCCAATTGTGTGTTTCGCTATTTTATTATTTCACATTTATTATTTTCTGTTTTCTTTACGCTCGACTTGCAATCAAAAGCTGAACATTTTCCGTCCTCAAATTACCATATAGAATCGCTGTTGAGCTCCTCCATAAGCTTGCCTTCGGCATTCACAAAGTAATCCACGGTCAAGCTGCTCTGAGTATCATGCGCGCTCGAATAGTTGGTCACTACTCGACAAGGTATACCAAGAGTACGACAAATCGTCGCCAGTACACCGGAGAAAACCCAGCACTGTCCGTATTTGACCGGCTTCTTCGTCTTGTAATATTGCTGGAGTATTTTCTGCGAGCCCATCCATCTGGTAGGTGGTGTGCCGCCCCCGTAATCGTCCGACCAATTTCCCATCAGCGCCCCATTGTCGTCAGGGGAGTTCACCTGATGAAAACAGATGAGAACAGTTCGAAAATTTTGGAATCTCATTCTTATGTTAAAAAAAAAAAGCGCACTTTGAATATCAATTCTCAAAATAAGTTTGCTTTTACAAGGAAAGGTCTCGCAAAAAACTTACCGCGGCGGATAAACAACGCGTTATGATGACCGGATCATTCCTGCCGGAGACGCGGACCTTGCCAACGTAGTTCATCAGGTGCAAGGCACAATCCAAAATATCACGTTCGAATTGCGCGTATTTCCACACAGTGGGTCGTAAACGATTGTGACTGCCGCGCCAGATTAAACCGTCCTCCGCCATTACATACTCTTGACGTTCGGCCTCATCATCCAAATATACCACGTCATCTGAAAAGAAAATTGTAAAATTTGAAATTATGATATTAAAGATCAAATATAATCTTCTTTTTAGATTCCTAATGCGTGCGAAAATTCTTTGTTTTTTTGGAAAAATTTCTATTGTTGCTATTGTAAAACAGTAAAAATTCGAAAAATCGTGGTGCTGATCGAGGCGCTTTGCTGGGAAACAAAAGATTGGTATTTGCGAATATGTACCTGTGCACCATGGATTACAGATCAGGTAAAACGGATGATCCATCGTGTAACTGACAGCACCTTCGGATTCCTTGTTTTTGGTATCGATATCTATTTTCCATCTGCCTATAATTGCGTTTGGGGACGTCACAACCTGGAGATGACGTACCTCGTTAACATGAAGTCCTTCATTTTAATATCTTAATTCTTCTCTTGTTTTGCATATATACATATTTCCAAATTAATTAAGACAAACGTCGACGGTTTTAATATTATATTTCGCGAGATATCAGTGATTTTAAATGCAAATTCAGTCATTTTAACTTTGTTTTACTTACAGAAAAGCTATAAGTCTAATTATATATAAAAGTGTTTTAAAATTACAAATTTGTCAAGCAAATTTAAGCAAAGTTAAATTCTCATAAAAATTTAACAAGATCGATTATATTTCATCAACGACTCGCCTTTATTCTTAAGAAATGCGGTCCTCTGGCGTCTATGGTGGTCTGCCAAGCAGCTTCGGAAATCTCTCCGGGATAGAGAAGAGCGGTTGCCACCAGTGTCCCGTGTCCATATTGCGGCTTCTCGATGCCGTCCAAAGTAAAGACCATAGAAATACCGTCGATGGAAGAATTATAGTCTCGAGATAGACTCAGGTGCAGATAAAATTCCTGGCCACGTCTCACGACGAGTCTCGCTCTGTCATCCTGACGGGTCATCAGCTCGTATCTGGATGTCCGATGATTCTCGCCGTTTTCTTCGATGCAAGGATCCACATTGTGGATTGTCAATACCGGAACGCCGAAATCCTCCCCTACAAATGTGACGGCATATATCTTTAAAAACTATCACGATAAAAATTAGATAAATATTAATAAAATAAATAAAATAAATATTATAAATTCTGTTCTGACAGAAAGAATAGTGTATTAGATAATAATTAAATGATAAACATCTATGAAGGGGATTTAGATTAAAATTATGCACAAAAAAGCTTCCTAAATAATCGACGATTAAATTATATCATTCGCGCTGTTACTTTAATTATATATACATATAATTTAGTCAATTTTCTTCTAAATATATGAATTAAATGTAATGCCATAAACACAAATTCTCAGTCTCATGTCTTGTCTTTTTTTTATACAATTATATCGTGATCCATGGAGAACGCGAGGGACTCACAGTAGAATCTGAACGGAAACGGTCGGACACGTCGATCATTGAATATCCGATAGCGATCGTAGAATCTGTAAAACATCCCGCGACGGTCCGGATGCAGTGGCTGCACCGGCTGCGGATACGAACGATAGGCTGGATACATGGGGGAGGAACGCGTCGGACGCGAGTTCGCCGATTGACTGAAGCGCTCGCCGACGACAAAGAGGAAGGAAGAACACGGAGCTGAGGTGGGCTGCTGCGTTCTCTAGGAGCGATCTCAAGGACGAACGTGCTGCAACGCCGAGTGCAGCCATACATGGCGTCATCGGTGACACCCGCGTCAGTAGGAGTCACCCACTTTTCGTTCCCATAAATTAATCGGCGATTTATAATCACGATCGATTTCTCGTACAACTCGATTAAAGCCTATTTTCTTGAATTTCTCGAATAACGATTAATTACGGCGGAAAATGTTTATGTTTCATAAAAGCTTGGACATCTACTTCTTTGAATATCAATATTTTTTAGAGTGTTTACATGATATGTTATAATTTAATAATATATTGAAATTTATAACAATAGGGATATAAGTGACATTTTATTTAACAAATTGAAAATTCTGGTTAATAGGTATTTATACAAATTTTATAATAATTGCACAGATCTAGAGATTCTAATAAAAAAATGACACACCCTGATCTTTAATATTCCAGAATCATAATGAGATGCAGTTTTAAAAAGTCATAGCTGTCGTCATTCTTAGCATCTATTGTTCTCATAACTAGTCCGGAGATATATTTGTAACTTATGAGTTGCAAATGCCAAAGTAATGATTCCCTTTTAAAACAATAACAATAATCGCATGATTTGATCCAACAATATATAACTTTAAATATTATGTCAGTTAAACAACGCATGCTTTTATTTAATTTTCTATTATTTTATAATCTTAAATTTCACAGAAATTACATTTTCCTTAAATTTTATAAATTTTTTATTTAGAATTTATAAATATTTTTCTAAATAAAATTTCGTAAGCTTTCATTTAAATTATTTTCAACGAATTCATCTCAACAGACAATATTATATTCCAAACATTAATTACGTTTTCAAAGATGTAAATAGTTAATTTATGGATTCGTACCTACGCAAATAATTTAATAATGCACGCGAAACCTATATTCATTAATTTAAATTACACCTATTAAAAAGAAGTCATTAAAACTCACTGTAATTTAAAGGAATGCCGTTTTTGAAAATCATGTAAAATAATCGATTCTTTACACAGAAATATCCCACAAATTAGAATCTCTTAGAATCTCTAATTATCGATTAGAAAAAAACTTGGATCATTAGTCTAGAATGTACGTTGCAACATACGATCGTAAGAGATTCTTGCATTTCAATTGCCACAGTAATATAAACATCGATTAAGTACTATTTCTGTAAAATCGCACATTCCTTATCAGATCTTGGTTCAATTCGTTTGACTTATTTTAATGAAACGGCTTATTTTACCTCGAGAACACATCTAAGAAAGAAGAGATCACTTTATCACCGCCAACCTGCAATTGCCATTTCAGTTGCAATACAGTTCGATACGATAGAACAAACAATTTGTAGAATTTTAGGTCAACTAGAGAGATTCAGTTTTACCATTTACGGAAAGACAAGACATGTTCCATATTAGGGACTTGTGTTAAGTACGCACGATTTGAAAAAATGCTCTTCTTATGACTGACAGTTTCCAATACGTGATATATCATAGCTTTTCACTCAGATTTTAATTAATTTCTGACAACAATAGTTTATACTTTTTTTCGCACCGACATATTGAAAGTAATTGGCTTTATGCTTATTTTCGTTAATCGATTGCAAAATATTGCTTAAGATTTGAATTATATTAATATGCAAATTATTTTAAAAATAATAAAATCTATTAGAAAAGAAACAAAAAATATTTTAATAAAGAGGAAGTAAAATTATTTTAAAATATTTTCAGTAGAAATGTCACATTATCAAGCATTGATTTTAATAATGAAATGACTATGTCAGACGAAATCACCATTAATACGTTATTCAATCCACAAATAACAATACGCGCTCCATTTGTCATTGTAATTAGTTGACTTCATCGGTCTTAATATGAAAATGATGGTGTTCAAATGATTCAGTAACGGGATATACATATATCACGACTATGTGCGCAAATATTATACTCGTATAAGAATAACAACGAGAAATCAATCAACTAGAAGAATTGAAATTGACTTGCTTTTAATCGACTTTTCTCCTGAATTTTTTTAAAATAAAACTTTTTTAGCAACAAGCTAAAATTGATTTGATAAAATTTATTTAAATGAAAAATGAAATTTTATTAGCTGTTGTTAAATGTCTTCTTTCTCTTCTTATTCTTAAATAGAAATGTTTAAAGCTCATCGATATCAAGCTGGAAATATCTCGTAATGAGAACACGTGCGAGTAAAATGTTCATTTACGAGAAACTTGTTGATGCTTCTGTTATAGATACACGTCTGGGTATCTTAATCATCGCGTACAGAATGAAGGAACGCCTCTTACACGCGCGATAACGATATGTAAATCAATTTACTGTCAGACTGAGTGAAAAGCAGAAGGATGTACGTCCAACAATATATATATATATATATATATGCGTCGAACTTCGCACGATTTATATAAAAGAGAATGAGTCAATGAAGAAAATTATCTGAAAGAGCGTGACTTGATAAATTCACGAAAAATTACGAAAGCACGATTCGACGAAGCTTTCGTGACTAATCTTCTGGTTCCATGAGGGAAAGCTCTGAAGAATTCATTAAAATAGTACCTCGCGCGGCATTTGATGTAAGAGAATATAAATAAATTGATTATCTCTCTCAAAATATGATGAGTCAGCAATATTTATAAATTCGCTCATTTTCATTAATTATCGAGTTTGAAAGAAATCTGAAGTTTTGTATATTGAAATATATAAATTTTTCTTTAAATAAAATAAATTTTCAGTCGATAATGCAAATACATTAAATTTATTTAAATAAAAGCCGAGAATAACGCGACTTGACATCGGCGAAAGTGACATCACCGTTTTAGCGGTCATGGTGTCGCGTTCCTTGCGTAATTCCACTTTCATTCCACGTGCCGCAAGACTTGGATGCGCAATCGCTGATGCACAAGTTCAAGACCCGATCTTGACAAATCAAGTTTTAAACGATATAAAGTCTTTTAATGTGAGAAACATTGATTTGTGAGTATTGCAATATACATACACGTATATTTCTTTCCTTTCTGAAAAAAAAATTAACAGACTTCGGCACGTAATAAATGACACCACAGTACAAATACCGATACAGTCTTTACTAATGAACAATACTGCACATTTAAATGCACATAATTATAATGAAGGCCGGCGCCTCGCGAGACACGCGCGGAAGCTGACACTTCCCATTTGGCTGAGTATATTTTCTCAAACAGAAAGAATGCGCGATAAATCGAGCGTGCCAGCTGAAAGGAGGGAACACATCGCACATTGTATCGATGGAATGATGGAATCCGCGTTTATTTACAAGTCTACTCGTCGGAAGATAGAAGCTAATCCTGCGCTGAAAAATAACGCGCGAAAAAATATTTTCTTTCATGTTTCTTGAAAAAATTTTTTTTACCAAATTTTTCAAACATCGAAGCGAATAAAAAATTTCCCATATTGAGTCAAGAAAAAAAAATTTCTGCAAATGAAAAAAATATATTGAATGTCTTGCTTCAACATATTGAATACAGATTCATTCAGGAATCAATGTTATATAACAAAATACATAGCTGATTTACTTACTTGACTCGAGCATACGATGACAAACGAATAAGGACCTACCTTTACACCTACTCTTACGTCAATTGTCATCTCATCAATCGTTTTCGTTGTTCAATTCTATCATAATAAAATCTGTGATAATAAAATCGCTACCCACGCAATTGAATTATCGGCATTGCGATTTTTTTTTCTTCCGTAGTGGTGATATCATACTTTACAAATAAAATATATTATCGTGCCAAAATCGTTAACTAAAGGCACGTTTTCTCGGCACGTGTAGCATAACTTACAAGCGCAGTATATCGTCCTTGACCAATATTCTGAAAATAGATTTTTAGGGCATACCGGAAATGGTACTTCGCTTCTTGGCTAAAATGTTAATATTGATGTGGTACGATACGATTATTCAACTCTTTGCCGTATTCAAATTGTTTTGCATATTGACTGCAGCGCAATCACCATGCAAATAAAAATTCATTTAATTTACACGTACAATGATTAACGACTTTATATTTTTATAAATGTAAACAAATAAAACAAATTTGAATGTATTAATAATTTAGAAGATTTTTTAACAGATGAAAGTTTGGAATTCCATAAAAAATGATAAAATGAAAGAATCTCGACAAAAAAGCGGTTAAAAAAATCGCCTCGCGATAATTTGCATCGTTCGTGGGAAAACGAGGAGCTCACGTTAAACGTTGCGGTTCATTGCATTATCTGCATCTCGGCCCGATTTACGATGATTTACTTTTAAGCATGCAAAATACAGGCCGCATTATTTTACGCACTCGTGATTCATACTCGTCTATCTTATCTTTATTAATTGATTTCACCCCGCCCACGCACGCGAATCCCATCCTCAGAGAGGTCAATTGGCTACGTGTCAGATATGTCTGGAAATACCCTTCATTATCGGGACTCGTTTGATCGCAGATTTTGCAGAGCAAAATCGCATTTGCCCGAAAATATCACATTCCTGCAGGAATATTAAATTCTTATGTTACTCTGCAGTTTTCTAAGCGGCATAGAGATATAGTTTATTTTATACATCGATTCACATAAAGTGTACATACAATAAGAAAGCCGATTAAGAACAGCCGCAGAGCAAATAATTATATAGCTTTCAGTAATTACTATGTATTATTAGATATATATTAATAATAGCAGATGAGCGATCACTTCCCTTTTGATATCTGTAAATATATCACTTGTCACTTCTCGGTAACACGAGATGAAAGGTCATAAAGAGACCGAGAAAAATTTATTGACTCACGTACCGGAAGCGAGCAAGAACCATTTGGAAACAAGAAAGATGATATTCTTATCTCTCTTGATTTTTTAGCTCTTCTCTTAATGCGGTCCAAACTTTCAGTAGATATGCGGATAATCGTAATCCCGCAAGAATATTTAGCTCGCCCGGGGAAAACATTAAGAACGTAATCTACAGGAAAAGTTATTCTTTCTTCGAAACTTTTTAATCAACATTAATAATAGCATTATAATTAGAATTTCTTCTTACGTTCCATGTACAAATATATGTATAACAATATTAACATTAATACACATAAATTATATCTCTGGATATAACAAATTTAAATATCTATATATACTTTTTTTAATTGATTAGCATTTAACTTATCATTGATTATTAAATTGATTAGTAATTAAAATATAAAATCAACTTACCTGTGGCAGTGGTAGGTGGTCGTGGTCTCTCTAAAGGTTCGATGTCATGGGGCCTGAATACGGCCCTAAATCTGGAGAGGCACGAGCACGAGCAACACCTTTTTTTCATAATTAACAGCGGATGCAAATGCTAGATTTGTATAAAAAATAAATCTTCAATATATCATTCATTGACTGTAAATTCATAATTATTACATCATAAAATATGTTTATTAATTTATCATTTATTAAATGTCATAAGTTTTATTTTATAATAGCATTTTTTTTAAATTCTGCAAAATTTATGAAATAGTTTGTATAAATTATTAATTTTCTTAATTTAGATTTTTAAATTGAGAATCATGTTTTTGCAAATCGTAATGTATGATCAAAAATAAATATATACAAAATTTTCGATACTGTGTGAAACAAAATATTTTTAAAAACACCGATTTTTTTCAATACTCATTGAATAAATAATAACTTTTCAGTAATGAGAAAAATTTCTTTCGAAATAATTTCGTACCTACAAGATAATCTAAAAATTGTTTTTTTTTTTTTTTTATTATAAATGAGATTTTGCACGATATCACGTCGCAATGCACATCTCGACCGCGTGCGTGCGAAATGATTGAAAACAGCGTGTTGGTCTCCACGCCGTGTCTCGAACGACTGTCAGTGAAAATCAGCTGCCATTGGCAGCATAGCGTACGATAGTATCTCCCGCCAGTTAACTTTTAAAAGAAACGGTTAACGGTAATGATATGCTAACATAAGTATCTTGTACTCTTATGCAACATTGCGAGACACGCCTCTGTAAATAGTAAAGTAGATGATGTGCTCGTTAATGATTCTGTTGCATAGTTCCTAGGTGTTTTTTGCTTACGTGTTTTAATCGCGATCATTAGACATTGCAATGCGTTGTTACATCAATCTTCGTCTCCAGAAATTGGGTCATGCAGAAAACTTTATCATTAATGAATAATGAAAAGTGGATACATTAACAATTGTTTTGTAAAACAAGATATTAATTTAAATTGCTTGTTCAACAAAAATTAATTAGAAGTTTGATATAAATTGATATAAATTCATTAAACTTTTCTTTGCACAACAAAATTATTATTTAATATATATATATAATTAAATTAATATATATGTATATAATTAAATTATTATAATATCACATTAATGAAATTTAATTATTATAAAAAATAATAAACATGAAAAGGAAGCGAATAATTTAATATATGAAATGCTATGTTATACGAGTATTAACATTGGCACCTGATAAGCTGCAGTTTAACGCAGACGTGTTATGACATCAAGTCAATGATAGCGAGGATAATACATATTTTTAGCACTCGCGTAATACATCACGTAGGAATTTGTTCTTCGAATTTCGTAAGTCAGTTCTGCTTCCATAGCAAGATGTCTATATATCTTTCTCTTAGTACTCTGTCAAATATAAACTAGAAATATAAAATGTGTTCTTAAATAGTTCTACGAGGACTGAGAAAAAGATTTTCTAGATAATACAAAAAATGTGTACACAATTAACAGATTGTGAGATAAAAAAGAAAAATAAACTCCTGATGTTAATAAATTACGGCTTGTATCCAAAAAGATTTCATTAACTCTCACACTTTGCTTAAGATATAATAATATTTAGCGATCTTCCTTATCAATAAGATGTAAATACATAAAAATTCAAAAAATAAATAAGAAACATTATATTGTATATAAAATTTCATACACAACATAAGAAGTAGACATATACATAGATATAAAACATTATTTACATATCAATATATAACACAATTATTGATTATCCAATAATAAGTTGAGATCCAACGTGGACTCTTGATTTTGTTGCATTTTAGTAGTATCGCGATTATCCTTCACTATGATCGTTCCAACATAATTCACCATAACATATATATATGTATATTCATAATTGCCAGATGCGTTCTGTAATTACAATTGAATATGTAAATACATATTATTCCCGACTATTGGCTGTGCTTGAAAATTTACTCACTTCCTTCACTTCTGCATATGCAGTTCCTTTCCTTCTTGTTCCTTGTATATAAAATTGTATTCTCATATACTTAACGCCTTCTTTAATGTAATACATATGACTAAAAACAAATGCAAAGATAGTGTAAATATTATTTATATATTAAAAATAAATAATTAAAATTTTAATTTTAATATTAAAATATCGTCATAATTTATTAACAGCAAAATCTATATTTGTACAAAACATATTGATATTTCACTCTAAAAATAATTATCTGGCTGTACCCGATATGTCTTCTACGTCCACGTCGAGTTTCCTCTCCATAAGCTTTTAAAGGTGCTCCAAGAATATCTATGACCTTTGGATGTTCCATGCAGCGTACACGAGCCTCGCTGTAAACCCCATATGGGCTTTTACTAGAAAACAATTCCGAAAATAAGGTATACAAGATTAAAGCTGTGATTCCAATACCACCTATTATTACTCCAAGATATCCAGCAGATTTTAGGTTTTCTTTAACTAAAATAAAAAGAAAAAGATACAATTGTTGCTTAAAATAATATATAACATAGATCATATGAAATTTACCTACTTCTGCAGTGCCAATCTGTACCTGATTATTGTCTTCATTGGATTCAGTCTTGGTCACAGTCTTGGTCACTTTCTTTGTCGAGTACCAAGCATTGTGTTTAGGAATACTAAGATAATAGGAAGTACCTTGCATATAAGTAATCAAGTGCCTTCTCTGGAGAATATGATTTAATATTCTCACCGAAGCCATATTCTAAAACATAAATATGTATTAAAATAATACAAACTATGAAATATATATTTAATTTTACATTTGTTAAGGTTAGGTCCTTTAACAAAAAAAGAAATTTAAGTCAAAGTAAATATGTACGGTAATTGATCTTGATTTGTTTTCTTTAAATCATCATTATCATTGTTAACACTTGACAATATCACACATTGTAACGTACATACAAAATAGTATTAAAAATAAATTATCATAACAGTTTGATCATATCTGATTATATCCAATGGCTGCGTTTAGCAGAAAAAGTAGCTTTGCAAGTGTGTAAGATTCTTCAATATGATTGGTTTATACATTTAGATTCATCAGAAACTAAGAGCGAAAACCATTCAGAAACTAAGAGCGAAAACCAATCATATCAAAGATTTTTACAACAATTACAAAGCTACTTTCTCTATTGAACTCAGCCATTATAAAAGAACCAAATCTAGCGAATTTCATTCTGATTGGTCAAATTCCAATCCAATCTCAATTGTAATATAGTTTGATACGAGCTTTAGAAAAACTGTCCATTTCTGGACAAATGAAAAGATTGAAATACCGGTTTAAAGTTGAGCGACCGTTGCACCATCTATGAAATTCATGTGTGATCAGATCTCAGTATCTTGTATTGAAACAACTGCTTTGAATTGTTAATTTAAAGATTAATGGCAGAACAATAATATTTTTAATTATATCGCTTCATTCAAATTATTAATGAAGACACCACATCAAAGATTAGTTATGGTTGGTGATCGCGATGGGTAAGCACAAAATTGCCAATTTTATATTTAAATTACACATAATATAAAACAATTTTTATTTTAATACACACATATATACCTATCTACACACACACACACACACACACACACACACACACACTATATATATATATATATAA